GTGAATTAAAAGTTAAATTAGAAAGTTTAAAAGAAGAAAATGCTACATTAAAATTAAACTCAAATAAGTATGAAATAAAAACATAAAAAATAATTGGTACCTAAGTATAATTTTATTTTTTTGAATTTAGTCTCGTAAAACTTGAAAACGAACTGGCTGGAAGTAAAAAGTTACTAGCTGATGCTACATTAAAAATTAATACTCTTGAAAATGAATTGAAATTTGAAAAGGATAAACTAAATGTAGAAATTGAAAAAAGAAAAAAATTACAAGTATATTGTTTATTGATTTCATAAATTCTAATTCACAATTTTATAACATTTCTGAATGATTTTTACTTTCAACAGCTTAATACATCTCATCAATCATCCCCAACTACAAGTGTGGGAGTTTCCTCATTAGAAGAATCTTCGTTTTGGCCATCAGTATGACTTTTTATTTACATTATTATTGTCTTCTTGTTAAAAGTATATAATAAAATAAAGGATAATAATTTAAAAAAAAAAACTACTTATTTAATTGCAGTTTGCCGATGATGATAGAAGTTCAGTAACAGAAAGAGCATGTAGTATTTATGATCCAATGAGAACATCATTTAGTAACACAACAACGGTTTTAGAAAACTTACAATCACAAATAAAATTAAAAGAAGGTCAGAATAGAAAATGTCATGTTTTTCTTAGATTTTGTAATACTATATTAAAATGTACTTGTAGGAGAAGCACTTCAATTGCAGTGGGAATTGTCAAGGAGAGATCATGAAAGGGATCAATTGACAACTGGATTAGCCGCGCTTACCGCCAAAGTAGAAGAACAATCCATCTCATTAGTAGAACTTTCTGACCTTCAAAAGAGGTATGATGCCTTATTACAACTATATGGTGAAAAACTAGAAGAAAGTGAAGAATTAAAACTTGATCTTCAAGATGTAAAAGACATGTATAAAGCTCAGGTAAATATAAAATATGTTTAAATAATTTAATAATCTATTATTTTTACCTATCATCTGATTTATAAGCTATTATTTTAAATTTAATTTAAATTTTTAGATTGATGAACTACTTAAAAGAGATAAAACTGGATAAAATTAATAATAGTGTTATCATGCAATGGTTTTTTATTAATTTTTCAAAAAACTATATAAGTTTTTTGTCCCTTAATGAATATTTTTTTATATTTGTATGTCATTGAATAAATACTTATATTTATGTTTTTGATTCATTAAAAATCATAAATAACTTTATTCCCTATTTAAAATGTTATGAACTATTATTTCTGTAATCATTATTAAATTTACTATCAAGTAATTATTGTATCTTTATTAAATTATTATAACTGTTACCAATTTTTTATTTTATTGTTTTTTTTTTTTTTGTGAATTTTGAAAAGTATTATTTGTAGATATTTTTTATTCTCTAGTGCAATTTGTTCTTTATAATGATATTATTTATTACTGTATGTTATGTATATCTGTGATAATAAATATTATTTTAATTGTTAGCATTATATTATTATGTTTATAAAATTATTAATGGTTAAATGAATTTGAGTTTTTTGTAAGCATTTATTTAATATATTTATACTGTGAAATTGTTATTTTGATAAATTTACAGTGCTCATTCAAACACTGAAAAATATAAATAACCTTATCCCTAATCAAGAAAAGCTTAACTCAGTAGTCTACATACATTATAATTTATATGTGCTCGGTGATTTTTTTAACATTACACACATTGAAAAATATATTTTTTTACTAAATTATTTATTTATTTATTGTAGTAATATAAACTCCAAGCAATAGTTGCAATGTGCAGTTAAGAAATAATGTAAAAAAATATTTTTGAAAATGTGTAAACATTTTTAGGTCTTTGTCATTAAAAGAATCATAAAGTATATTCTGTGCAACACGATTGCGCCTGTTCTGCTTTTTACCTGAAAAAAAAAACGCAACACAATTGTGCTCTATGAAAGGTTGATAGGTATTATCAATTATATAGGTGTAACAATTTTCGTTCCCAACTTTACAGGCTTATAGGAATAGCAGCAAAATAAAATTGTTTCATATAAAGACATGGGTATTTAGTACACACAATACACTATTTAAAACTATTGATACTTGACATAAATACTACAAATTACATTTTTTTTTTAATAGCATTATTTGTTCAAATAAAATATGATAAATGTTTATAATTCCATGTATTACAGTATTTACTGTATTGCTACAGTCAAACGAAATCGTCGATACCTCAAACTTTTAACTTTTAACTTCAACTTTGAGTTAATCAAGTCCTACTATATTTTTGAATAGTGTATTGTAAAATTGTGAAAGAGACAACAACTATATTCTATAGAGCTCAATCGTGTTGAGTTTTTGCATTTAAAAAATGTAAGACGCACTCATCGTGTAAGACCGCTGTATATTGTATTATTCACAGAATCCTCGAAAGATATTATATATTTAGCATCCATACTTCATTTCATATTCGTCTGTAGTTGCGCCAGTGCTCTTTTCTTTGAATTCCAATATGACAAACGAATAAAATACTTGATAGGTAAGTCACCTAATGTACATTTTCCCTACTCCAGTTACCTATCTACTGTTAATAAACGAATTCCAAATCCAAATGTATTTTTAAACTTATGAAAGTCAATCATCACTGACGTCTGACACTGAGATCACCTCTGTTCATATTGTATGCTTTTTGTCAAAATAGAAACGATTAAAGTGTATAATATTATATTCCATTTGTAATACTTGAATATTCAATATGCTTTTTCTGTGTTTGACTTTTCCCAGATTTATGCTCTTGAGTCTTGACATTACAGCAACACCAAAAGTTATTTTGAATTACATATTTTGCACCGAAAGTTTAGCTTTTGATGATGGTTCAAGGTTTGGAAAGCGAACTTTTTTCGTCCAGCTGGCGATAAAGAGGGAAACCCCATAGTGCCAGGTGGTAAAATGGAAATCCTAAAAAGTGCTGGGCGGTAAATTGGAAATTCCCAAAAGTGCCGGGGGTATTCCCTGCACAACCAGACATCGAACGATGAACGCAGAGGCATGACAAAATAGTATACTGTTTGTCAAGGGCGGGAAGTGAACTATTTCAATCACTGGCGACATGAGCCGCATGCGAGGTCCACATTTCATCCAACACTGAAATTGCCTTCCTGCACGAACCACAAATCCTATTTTTTTGTCACCCCTCTGCGTTCATCAATCTCGTCAAAGGTAGGTAATGCATCATTCAGCCATACAGTGATATTCCATGCAACAACAACCAGACTATTCTACGAAAACGATTTCATGAAAGAAAAGTATTTAAGCGTCATGCAAGGAGGTTATAATTGTATGAATATACAAGATGGTAGCTAAAAGTTTATGTTTTGTTAGGGCACTATAGATACCTACTATACGTAGAGCCTTAGTTTCGCAAGCACCGTGGTATAGATTTCAGTGTCTGGTTGTGCAGGGGATACGCCCAGCACTTGTCAACAGTGATTTCCAGTTTAACGCCGAGCACTTTTTGGGATTTCACTTAACCGCCCGCTGGAAAGGTCGTCTTCCAAAGCTTCAACCGTCATCGAAAACTCAACTTTCGGCGTAGGCGTGACAAAAAATAGTATGTGTGACTCTTGCGGGAGGCAATTTCAGTCTTTCAGTTAACCTAACGTCGAGGAAAAATTGTACGGAAACTTGATGTTAATGATTTTATTAGTATATATTATAGCTTATACTGTATAGGGCTGCATGATGATCAGTTGCACTCAGCATATAACTGCTTTGACATTTAAAAAAATGTACCAGTTGCATCAACCAAATGTACCAATTTATTTCGCTCGACGTAAAATGCGCTGCACCTGGTACAAACTACAAGAGGTACATTTTACCGACATGTGTAACGTGAACATTTTTTTTTCGACAAATTACAATGTATACGTCTCTTATTATTACCATTGAGAATATTAGGTATATTTATTATATAATATATTAAATGCTTTATTTTACTATTAGGTAGGTATTATTTAAAATAATACCATAGTCGCGTCCGCGCGCGATCGTCGCATATACTCTTACTTATTTATACATCACCTATTAATTTACACCATGTTTGTTATTGTGGTCGTGTATGTAACAATTTTTTGAGGGCAACTGGTGCATTTTGTTATATGTAGTTTGGAGAGAAATGGTATGAAAAAAAGTAATTTTGAGGGCAACTGGTATATACAGGTACGTAAGTAGTTGGTAACTGGTAGACGGTAGTTAATGATTAATACTGGAATTGCATTTTTATAAAACAAAACTATAATCAAAGTGAATGGATTGTGTGTTAATAGACATGAAATAACCATTAAGGGATCGCGGTGGCGATGTCCGGATGTCATAAAATAAGTTGGTGAAAGAAAAAATGGATTAAGAGTAAACAATTTGCTTATCTTTTCCAGACTGCTAATATACATACTATTTTCTATTTTCTATTTTCATATATTATCGGACAGGAGAAATGACTACCGTAACATTTACTAAATGTAAGAGTGAACTTAAAGTGGGAAAAAATGATGTTGTCAACTGGAAATTCAAAATTTAGAAGACTAATAGAAGTTATGGATGCTGCTAAATGGGGGGGGGGGGGGGGGGTAAAAAGCTTCAAGGAACCTACCGAAATGTGTTGGTATTGTAATTGGCGGAATTTATAAGGAAAACCACTTAACGGATATAAGAATTATTTGAGATTAGGTACGTCATATTCTATTTAATATTTAATTATAAGTCATCGTTTTAATAGCTTAGAGAATAAATGTCCTCATAGGTGCAAATTAGGTTTCTCAATTAGCGTTTGGAATTTGGGGAGCGGAGCTAAAGCCCTTCTATAATAATTTATAATATTGAAGTTAAAAAAAAAATAGAAAATGTTTGGTGGGTTTAGCTCCTAAAGCCCCCCCCCAAATTTGTGCCTATACGATATCCTATACATGTATACCTATACTTTTTCATGATGAGGACGGTGGCATGCCATCAGATAACATCGTTCAGGCGCCTGATGACTAATGTTTGCGGACTAAAACTTAAGAATAGAAAATTGTTAGCTATACTGTTATACTCAGACACTCAGTCAACATCTGTATTCAGCCCACGAGCCACGGTATGGTATAATGCAAGAGGAAAGAAACAAGCAACGAGTATTGAGGAATCTCAAAGATTGATCGCGCTCTGCTGGTATAAATTGTAACTAGTGCAACTGGGCAACTTCGGTGTTATTGTTATTTTATTATATGAGTGAATGAATGTGTTGTTTCTTTCATAAGCTTATGGTTCATTTTATTTACGTGTTTTATTATTAGATTCTGAGTGAAACGATGAATGTATTGATTTTACAATGATGTGTGTTTTTTTATTTTTTTTTTTTATTTTTTTTTTTATTTTTTTTTTTATTTTTTTATTTTTGTGTCTGTCATCACGTTTTAGGACAGTAAAAGTGCTTGGATTTTCTTCATCAGTAGCTTTTCTGATAGGAAAGTGAATCTAGTTGGTACTTTGGGGGGTCAAAAGTATAAATTTCCCAGTAGTTTTCACAAGCGCCGGGAAAAACAACATAAAAATTAAGGAAAAACGGGAATTTTTACGCAAAATTGGTTTTCCAAAAAATCGATTTTGGTTTTTGGTGTAACTCTGAAACAAATGAACGTATATACATGAAATTTTCACTGGTTGTTTATATTTGCATTTTCTATACACGATAACATTTTCAAAATATTTTGATTTATTTTGAACTGTTTAGGGACATTTTCATTTTCCATTTTTTTTTAGTTTTTTTTCTAAAAATATCAATAAAATTTTATTTGTTGGTTGCGAAAGCTTGAAAATTTAATAGAAGGCTCCTAATATATTGCTTCAAAGGCAGATGAAAAATATTAAAAATCCTTAGTCACAATTTTTTTTTATAAGCATTTAAAGTTCAAAAATTGACAAAATATGGGAAAATCACGAAAATTAGCAAATTATTTTGAGTTAAGAATTCGTAAAAATTTTTCTTTTTAAATCTAAGATTTGAAAATTAAACACAAGATTCCTTATAAGTTTGTCTACCTTTATCAAAAGAAAAATGTTTATAAGAAAGTCAAATTAAATTTTTATGAGCGTTTGAAATTCAAATTTTTACAACATTGAATATTCACTCGATTTCCCATGTAGCGATTTCCTTATTTTGTTGTAATTCAAAAACAAATAACTGTAGATACATGAAAATTTCACTGAATGTTTAAATTAGCATTTTCTATACACCATACAATTTTGAAAATATTTTGACTCTTTTTGAGCTGTTTATGGACATTTACAGCTTTCAATTTTTTTTAGTTTTTTTTTCTATAAATATCAATAAAGTTTTATCTGTTGGGCCAAAAAGTGTAAAAATTTAATACAAGGCTCCTGATATATTGTTATAATATCAGTTGAAAAATATTAAAAATACATAGGCACAGTTTTTTTTTATAAGCATTTAAAGATCAAATTTTGACAAAATTTATCAAAATCTCGAAAATTATCAATCATTGTAATTAATAAATTATAAAATGTTCAGTTTTTATAGCTAAGGATTGCAAATTCAACACAAAGGTTCTCGTAAATAGTTCATACTGTAACCAAAAAATCTAAAAAATATATGAACACAGTTATTTTTTACAGACATTTTAAATTCAAATTTGGACGAAATTTCATATTAAAAAACCTAGAATAACTATTTTAGTTATTTTGTTGTGATTGAATAATATTATTCGTGGATACTTGAAACTTCTAAAGTGTACTTTTATATATCTATGATAGTATCACGGTTTTTGTTGATGTATAACGCGTTATAAGTACCTAATGGATATTTTGATATGATTAATTTGGAATTTATTATAGGTACCCATTATAGGTCAATTTTTTGTTTAATACCATAGATATGTATATAATATGTCTTATACATAGACTGACATACCGTCTGCGCTCAGAATCGTTTTTCTTATACAATGATATTATATCGTTGAATTCAAATTTAATATCATCCATTATACAGTGACCCACTTGTAACCTACTGTACAGCAGAGCGACACCCACTTGCCCACCTTTTAATTATTATAATTAATATTCATAATACAAAATACGAATGTCTATATTATATTTAAATTTTATATTAACCGACAATATTAGGTACTTATAAACTATTAAATAAAACATAATGGAAAATAGCGGCGCTAAATTTTCACCTCGTCCAAATAATGGCCACTCCAAGAACACTTTAAATCAGTTTGAGAAATAGGTTCTAATGAACTAATCCCATTCCTGAATAAATAGATCCACAAATAAAAATTAAACAATAAAGTAAGTTGTTTGGTATTTAAAAAACTGGTCAAAATGTCACCAAGCTAACACTAACCTGTTCAGATAAAGTAATGTTGACACAATATGTTTATGTTAATTATAAAAATATATTAAAAACAATTTATATGAACTTTTTACTTTTTTATGTAAATTAATCGATATACGTAAATACATAATAATATATAGGTAGTTAATTTTTGACTGCCCAGTTGCCGGCGCCATTTTGAATGCGCCGCCCGGAACTCTAATTCCCAATAGTCAGTACTGGATTCAAGGATGGAGGGTGGAGAACTGGTCTAGGAAAATATTTAAAGACATTTGAGTTATGAATTATTATTATTATAAACTGTGGACCGAAGGCCATATACGTCAGTCAGTAGGAGACATTTCTGTTGATATAATAAATAATAATATATTGATGTTGATGAAAACAAACTATAGCCCCAAGCCCCCAACAGGAAAAGCAATACGAAAAACGAAAGCAGCTCGATTTAAAACTTAAAAAAAAGTTCTAATAGTTTAACCAGAATTTCATAAAGGGGTGAGTCTTTACCCTCATACTTCATTCGTTCATTGTAAATTGTTCTTCATAGTTAAAAGTAATGAAATATACTTATATAAAAACAGAAAGAGATAATTAAAAAAAATGTAATACGTTTTTAAAATAATTTGGAACCAATTCAAATGTAGGTAATACTCTTCATAACAACTCGGTACAAAACTAATTTGGATACAGTAAAATAAATATATACATACTAAACACATTATTTTATATGACCAAAGGAGAAGGGCTGACACGTGTTGCGCCATAATTATTAGGTACAGCTATTAAATGAATATAATTATTGTGTACCTACCTATGTGTTTTAATATTTAATTCGTGTAAGTTATATTATCATTATTATAAAGTAATTTTGCTAATTTTCGTGATTTTTCCGTATTTTGTCAATATTTGAACTTTAAATGCTTATAATTACAAACTGTGACTAAGGATTTTTAATATTTTTCAAATGTAATTGTAACAATATAGTAGGAGCCTTGTATTAAATTTTCAAGCTTTTTTACCCAACAAATAAAGTTTTATTGACATTCATAGAAAAAAAGACTAAATAAAATTGAAAACAGAAAATGTTCCTAAACAGTTCAAAACAAAATATTTTTAAAAACTTATAGTGTAAAGAAAATGCAAATATAAACGACCAGTGAAAATTTCATGAATATAGTTCATTAGTATTAAAGTTACACCAAAAACCAAAATCGATTTTGTCAAAAACCGATTTTGCGTAAAAATTCCCGTTTTTCCTTAATTTTTATGTAATACGCTTTTGAAAACTATAGAGAATTTTAAAATTTGACTTCCAGAATGCACCAACTAGATTCACTTTTCCATCGAACAAGATACTGTTGAAGAAAATCGAAGCAGTTTTATTGCCCCAAACCGTGTGACAGACATAAAAAAAAATAAATAATAAAAACACACATCATTGTAAAATCAATACATTCATCGTTCCACTCAGAATCTAAAATGATAGGTAATGGTTAATCGAAGATTTTATATCGAATATAAAGAAGGAAGTTATAGCCAACTTGTAACAACAAGTGCCGATTCACATTAATTTTTGATTAGAAATGTATGTTTATGTTGGTCTCAAAGTAGGAAATAAATAATTAATAAAAATAAAAACAGAAATGTATAATAACATTAAAAGGACGTCACACCCGCCATCTCGACGTTCGTATGTTGGTTTTTTTGCGATTGTTCAATTTTTAAGTGAGTTATGAGCATTTTTAATTAACGCTATATTATATAGGAATCACTTGCTTTAAAATATAACCATCTTCAAAAAACAACATAAGAACACAGATTATGTTTCTACCATCAAATTTCATAATAGACCGATTCACTCTAATTTCTAAACTATCTAAACTAAACGACAAACGTGATATGCTGAGCGTAAATTTGCTATTTGCTATTTGTAAGACGGAAACGTGGAGCATAGGCGCAGATTAGGGGGGGGGTCCAAGCCCCCAACCCAAACTTAGCCGTACCCCCATCACCCCCAAAAATAACCTAGGACATACAATTTTAATATGTTTTATTGCAATGGTCTGCTTGAATTTAATTTATTCAGCCCCCTCAAGTCAAAAGTTGAAATTGCGCCTATGGCTTGGATTCCTCTTAATACCTAAAATCTTTAATTTATAATAAAAACAAAAAATAGCTATCTTTATTTTGCAACAATTTTTTTTTAACGAAAATACGAAAATACATTTTTAATGAAGACTTATCAACAGGTTATGATGACTGATGACCAGATCAACACAATATTTATGCGTATTATTTACCGGATTAAAATAACTCTAGAGAAAATTCATTAAATTATATTACTAGTTATAAAATATTTATATAATTTTGTATTTTAATGAGTTTGACCACGTTTATAATATTGATGTGACGTATTTTCATTCATACAATTATACAACGTTTGATCTTAAGATAGTGGAAACGACTGTATTTTTGTATAAATGTGCCTCCTATTAATAACTAATAAAGTTTAATAATACAATTAATAATAAATAATTAATTAATAATACATCAATCTTAAAATCTCAACTAACTGATAAATGATAATTCATTCTCTACTGCATTTTCTACAGTCTACATTATTTTGACTATAATATTGACTATTTGTTATTTGTTGTACATTACATATTATGTACGTAACAGTGAAACACAAAGCTAATAAAGGACCAATAACATTTAAAAAAAATTTATCTACTGGTTGTTGCGGTTGTCTGATATAGATAGCTAACCTAATTGGGTAGGTATACAATTTTCCTTTGATATATATCTAGTACCTACTATATATA